TTATTTTCTAGCCTCTAGCTCGCGATACATTTGTCGATCGATGCAAAACTATTGTTCAACATCCACCTTACACCATAATCCACTTTAAATGCCATCAAGCTTGAATAGTATCTTTCCCTTATCATTCCAATCATCTCCTTTCAAAACAAGCTTCTAGAATACCGTCTAGAAGCCTAGAACTATCTTCCCTAAGGCCTAGGATGGAGAAAACGATTACTTGCATCTCTAAATTAAAGTAACACAATGTGAAACCACTTAAGTGGAATGTAGTTGAACTCTTTAATATTAAGACACCTGTAGGTGTAACAGTGAAATTTTGTTAGAAACTCCAAAGTCAAGCGTGCTCACATAGGATAAGTCATTGGATGGGTGACCTCCCAATAAGTTACACCGAAGGGGCAAAACAATGAGTACAATCGTCTAACTCATTTCTTCAATTTTTCATTTTCTAGCGTCATTCTTCTTCTTTAATTAAGTCTTTTTTCTTCCTTCTAATGCCTTCTCATTCAAAGTGAAGAGACGATTTTCTTCTCAGAATGATGGTTGGTCCTTCCAAGATGTTTGAAGCAAACCTAGATGCCTTCCAAATCACGTGCATATTTGATAACAAGAATGAGCTTCATTCTGCCAAGGAAGGCAAATATTCCAATACCATCATTGACGATGAGTTGTATCTCTACTAGGACTAGTTTTGCATGCATATATGGTTTCCCCTCCACCACAAGTTGGCAGAGATATTCAACTTTTATGGCTTGTTCCTTGCACAAGTGAGGCTAAATTCTTTTACAAGTATCATGGCTGCAATTCTGCACATGAAGAGGGATAATATGCAATGATTTTTAAATCTATTCCTTCAACTCATTATGATAAAGGCATATACGGATAGCTTTGTTATGTTAGCTATTTATTGCATTTGCTTGGAAGGTCCAGTGAAATAGATAAGATCATGATCTTTTATTATTTTTTTAGATGTAATAATGGATACTTGATCTCTTTTCGACCCATGAGGTTTCCCTAAAAAATATTATAGGTCCTCAAGTTGGATACTTTCAAGCAAGTTGGTAACTTGAACTAGTTGAAGCTTCTGGTCTATTGTTTTGTTGATTATGAATTACTCTAATTGATGTAGTTTCATAAATGTGGCTTCATTTCGTGTTGATTACATAATATGCACCTGGTTTATTAACATTTGAGTTTATTTATTTTGTAACTCTCCTCATAGAAAAGCCCTTATCAAACAACATGATTGTAGTATACTTAGATAAAAAAAAAAAAAAAGAAGGATGAGGGATGCTTGAGGAAACCCTAATGATAATTCTTTTCTCACATGACCTTTTCACATATAATGATGAACCAAGCCTTATCACATCCAGAGAGTACTCAATGATATATGATTTATAGAATGAAGGTGGCAAGGAGGAAATAAAGCGAATGGCATCAGCCAGGGGTTAAGGTAACGCCCATGGTGGAGCCTAGTGTTGCCTAGGTGGAGGAGCCTGGTGAGACAGAGGCGCCTGACTAATTAGCTATCGAGATAAAAAGCATGCACCTTGCAGTCAAAGTGTGGCTTTCGAGGAAGAGGGTGCAATCCCTCCCTCAGTGAGTTATCCTCAACTCGATGCCTACTTTGGGACTATTCATGGAGTTTCAGAGTTGATGAGGGAACAAGTCAAGGGGCTCAATGCCTTGGGTGCTCTTGAGGCGGCTCATGACAAAGGAGAGGAAATGATCGATGATCCTCCTCTTAAGAGAGCTAGAATGGAAGGCGACTTGCCCTTGGTAGTGAAGTTGCTTTAAGAGGTCTCTTTTGAAAGTCACTTGCAGTTGGTTGGCAAGTCGTCCAGGTCAGGGCAGGCTAAGTCGCACCAAGAGCCTCTGACTAAGGCATTCCAATTCATGACAAGAAAACCATCTTCTTCAAAAGTACCATTACTAGTTCCACATAAATAGATTATGCAATTGACGGTGCTCCGAACTTGGTTGCAGTTGATCTTTCCATGGGTTCCTGTTGGACTTTATGTTGGTTTTTGAACTTAACCGAGTAATAAAATCTCAGCCATATTAAATATGTACAAATCTTGGGATGGAATCATAGAAGCTGATGTTGACACATTGTCGAGGAAGTTCCTTCAGAGTTTGAACTCCTTTGATATATCAAATATAGGGCAAAATAAATTCATTACAAATACTTAATTTTAGTTTTATGACATTTATTTAAAACGTTAACAAATGAACAATAAAGTTACGTTATTTTATTTTTTTGGAGCATTTAAATAGATATCACACAATTCTTACTTATTTACAGATCTATCGTCCAATTTTATATTTATATACATAACACTCAAATTTTTGACATAACATTAAAAATACAGCTATTTCTAACGTTTTAAAATTGAAATGTATTTTTTCATGCATTAATTTAGGGAAAAGTAGAAACAAATCACTCAAAATATTGACTGAGAATGATTGATTTGTAACTGGTTTAGTTTCGGATGGTGTGTATGTAGTTGTTCGTAGTTTTTAGTATCAAGATGTTATAGATGTAAATACTAGATTATATGTGTTAGATATGTAAATGTATAAGAATAGGGTGGTTTGTATGTAATTTTTTTTATCTGATAAAACTGGACAATATAATCAATAAATGTAATGCCGTCATGAAAGTGATGTACAAAATTCCAGCGGCTCCGAAAAGGCTATGTTGGGGTGCAGAAGAGCGGAACTGAACAATCAGAGGCTATCAACGGTCTTCTTCAATAGTCAGAACTAAAAGGTTGGGAATGAAAAAAGTCTGGATCTAGCACAATTTTAACGTTAATCATGGCATAATTAAGGCAAAATAGAAAGCATTTATGTAAATTTTATTAATTGTTTGTTTATTTGACATTAAGGGTTTGTTTAGGGGGAGCTGTAGCTTATTAGTTTATCAGCTGCAACTTAACTGCCCAAAAAATAACTGCAGGAAGCTTCTTTTGGAAAGCTGATTGTTTTGTTTCAAATGTTTGACGAGGGCCAATTAAGTGGAGCTTTTTTCAAATTAAGGGTTTGTTTGGGGGGGGAAGTGCAGCCTATTAGTTTATCAGCTGCAGCTTAACTGCCCAAAATATTACTGCAGGAAGCTTGTTTTGGAAAGCTGATTGTTTTGTTTCAAATGTTTGAAAATAGACGTCTAACAGTTTTTTAGAAATTCACTACATATTCAAAAATTTTGATAAATCTAATACTAAAATAAAGATTTGTTGGAATATTTGCTTAGGACTGCCTAAAATTAACAGTTTTTTTAGAAATTCACTACAGATTCAAAAGTTTTGATAAATCTGATACTAAAATAAAGATTTCTCAAGGGTTAGTGCAAATGGTCAACAGGTTATGTTGACGATACTAGGAAATATATTTTTTATGAAGATAATGATGCATGATAGTCTCTGAATCAAATAATGGTGGATGATGATCTATGCATATCATTTTCATGAATTCCAAACCATTCAATATCAAATTACATAAGTAGGATAGTAACAAATTGGGAAGGGCTGCAATTTAAAAATATATCTGCTGCTCTTTTTTTTTTTTTAATAAAGAACAATCAAACTTCTTCATATTTTTTTCTCCTCTTTCTCTTGTTCAAGAAACATTCAATTGGTATCAGAGCTCATTTCTTAAGGGGCCTGTGTGTGCGAGCGACTGTTATGGAGATCGGCACCTGTTTTTTCTCGATTGTTCCACCCTTGTTCGACGGTGAGAACTATCGGATTTGGGCGATACGCATGGAGACTTATCTGGAAGCCCTGGATTTCTGGGAAGCAGTGGAAGAAGATTATGATATTCCTCCTCTTCCTGAAAATCCCACCGTGGCACAGATTAAAGAATAAAAGAAGAGTAAGACGAAGAAATCTAAGGCAAAAGCCTGTCTGTTTTCTGCAGTTTCCTCCACAATCTTCACTTGAATTATGCCATTAAAAACAGCAAAGGAGATCTGGGATTATCTCAAAGCTGAGTATGAGGGAGATGAAAGAATTCGAGGAATGCAGGTGCTGAATTTAATTCGTGACTTTGAGTTGCAAAAAATGAAGGAGACAGAAAATATAAAGGAATACTTTGACAGGCTACTCAACATAGTGAATCGTGTCAAATTATTGGGTTCTTCATTGGAAGATTCAAGGATTGTTCAGAAAATCCTTGTAACAGTGCCTGAAAGATTTGAGGCTACCATCACCACTTTAGAAAACACAAAGGATCTGACAAAAATTACTTTGTCAGAACTCTTGAGTGCCTTGCAAGCACAAGAGCAAAGGCGTGCAATGAGGGAAGAAGGAGTCGTTGAAGGAGCCTTACAAGTTAAGCATCAAGAAGATGAAAAGAATTGGAAATTCAAGAACAAGAAGTCTCAAGCCTCAAATGGACAAAGTTCTACATCTGGGAACAGAAGCAAAGTTGGAGTAAAGAAAGATTTTCCTCCATGTCAGCATTGTGGCAAGAAGGGTCATCCTCCTTTTAGATGTTGGAGAAGACCGGATGCAAAGTGCAGCAAGTGTAATCAATTGGGACATGAAGCTGTCATTTGTAAGAATGAAAATCAACAGCAAGAAGATGAAGCGAAAATGGCAGATCAAGAAGAA